ATCAGCTCAAGACACTTCTTCATGCACTGATGACCAAAATTAGGGTTTGAGTTTGCACAAGGGTTTTTGGACCATCAATGCTTCATATAACTTTCAAGGATCATTATGGACCCCCAAGATTATTCATGTCAAGTTTCAAGCCTTGAATCACACTTTTGATCAGTCAATTGGGCAGTTGACCTAAAAATCAGCTGTATTGGGGGAAAAGTCAACCATGGCCAATTTACAGTCAAAATTCATAATTTTTTATCCACATAAACATCTTAGACTCATATGTATCATTTGATCAAGTTTGGACCATAATTCCTCAAGAAATTTGATCAAATCATCAAAAGGGAAAAATGGTCAACATTAGGGTTTTGACTAAGAAAGGGCAATTTCTGATTTTTGACCTAGAAAATGGTTAATTTAAATCATGATCTCAAGAGTTCAATTGCATAATCTTGACCTAATTACATGGTTCAAAACATTACAAATCCATTGGATTGACAGATGAATTTTTCAGTCAATTGATCAAAAGTCAATTGTATACTGAAAAGTCAAACTTTGACTTTTTGGTCAAAATCAAGTGCCAAAGATCATAATTCATCAAAACATGTCAAAATATGAAACTTGTTCATCAAGGAATCAAGGATTGAAGATTTTGTTTTGAAATTTGAAATTTCTTAACTTAGAAATTTTTTTAAGTATAAAAAAATTCTTATTTTTTTTCAAATTTTAAGCCAAATTTTCACCATGATACAAGATGATTCAAAGGAAGTTCCCAACATGAAAGTTGTAGATCTCCATGAAATCTACAACTTTGCTTCACACAATTTCATGCCAATTTTTCACATAGTTCAAAGAGGAATCTTTGAAAGTAATTCAAAGATGAGTTGTAGAGCACATTGCAAGCTTTCCAAAATGTCCAAGAACTCCTTGAGATCATTCTTGAGTAGGGAGAATCGAAGAGATGAAGTTGGCAATTTCTCACTTTGATTTCAAGCCATTTCATGATGAACCAAAATTCAAATTCAAGCCTAGGCTGCATAATCTTTGCTTTGTAGGCCTCAAACTTGTTTCTCACTCCATAATTAAATGTTTACACAGCTGATAGAGCTTTAATCCAAGCCATTTCCATTTTGATAAAGCACAACTTTTGCAATTGTCAACTCCTTGAGCTTTGCACTTGTTCTTTCTGCACACATAAACCCTATAAACCAAAAGCAATGTGTCTAGAACCTCTACCAACTCAGATCAGGCTTGTACAAACACATAGAGATTTGTCTCTTCACTTTTCTTCAAAAGCAAGCAATAGAGCCAAAAGGCTATAACTCAGAAATCTTGAGGAAGCTTGATGTCTAACCTTTTCCATACTAATACACAAATGTATTACAATCTAACACACGATTGCTAAAGCTCAGAAACTCTCCCAGACAGTCTATCACTAAAAATCTGCCATAACTTACAGTTTTGCACCTTACATAGCAATCTCAAAAACCACTCGTGTGTTTTGAGTTCTAACCATCTAAACACTTAACATACATAATATCTAAGTGTTCCAGACCCCTGTTCCCTCATTGTAACTCCTCCTTCTCCATCTGCCATTTTTACATTTCAAGCTTGCAGGTTGACTTGAGTAGGGGGATTCAGGAACTTTCAAGGCAAGGTAAGGATTGAAACACACTCAGGGAGGTTCAGGCAAGTTAAACAGATCCTCAGGCCTTCTCAAAACTTTCCCAAACTCCATTCACGATCTCAACTGAAAGAGGTAAGAACTCAAACTTCTATCTCTTCATACAAGCATCCTTTGGTCCTGATTTATGAAAGAAAAATGTAGATATCCTTGCATTAAAGTTAACCATGTTCATAGTTTTCATTTATATTCGTTGTGTATAGAGAATTTTGGATTTGAATTTTCTATAAAAATTAGGTTTTAAATTAGGGCAAGCAAAATTAACTATGATCTTTGATTGTTAGTTTACAAAAATTATATCGTTGAACTCGTGGGAAGAAACACCATGATTTACATGTTTGGACTTTCCATTTTCATGGAGAAATGAGAGAGATACAGGTGGTCCGGCTATGGCTCAAGGTTGAAGATGAAGTTGCCTTTAGGGGGAGTTTTATAATATATATTTATGCCTTTGTTTATATGAACGGATGTACAACCACCCTAGTGGTAAGGCAGCACGCAAAAATGACATAGGTCATGGGTTCGAGCCTTGGCGCTGCCCTTTGCAATTTTTCATATTTTTTCCAGTTTTTTTTGTTTGTTTGGCAGCGTGGGCTTCTGGAACTTTGGGCTTTGTTTTTTTTCTAACTTCCTACCCCTGTTTGCTTGTAGCACCCCTGACCCATTTATTTTTATTATTCACTTTATTTTTATTTCTATTTTATTAAATATATTTTCCTTAATATTAAAAATCATAAAAAAAAAATATAAAAATGCTAGATTTATATTTTGGTTTATTTTATTTTATTTTTCTCATAGAAAATATTTTATTTTTAGTTACATATCATATTTTTTTTTATATAATAAACTTGTAAATTAAATTTAATATTTATTTTTTCTTCACACTCATTAAGCATATTATTTTTAATACAAAAGACCAAAATACCTCATAAATATCATATATTATTTTTCAAGACAAAAATGCAAAAATACTTACTTTTTTTTCAAAGAAATTTATTCCCTTTTAATTAAATAAAATTAGGGTTTATAAGAATCTTTTCTAAAAATAATTTATTTTCCTAATTAATTTGAGATAATCTTGATTTATTTATTAGGTTTAGTTTAAAACTTTTCTCACATAAAAAAACAAACAAAATCTTCTTTTCATTCATACATCTTTGCATATTTAATTTATCTTGTATATTATTTATTCCAATATTTGTACATATTCAATTTGGTTGTAATAGCTTAATTAGGTTTATATTATTGCAAATCCCCATTCATAAATTGTATTCCTCTCTCCCACAAATGTTGTAATAGCGTAGAACATTTAAATTTCGCAATTTATCACCTTTTATATAACATGCTAGTAATTAGGGTTTATATGGCAAGATAAAACCAATCAAATAGAAAACCATAATCTAAGACAAAATCAAGCATGAAAATAACACACTTGCACACAAAACACCCATAGGGTTACCCCACTTGGTTACCTTACAAAAATGGTCATATTACGCATGTAAAGTGTCTTAGCAAAAACAAACAAATACAAGATCATAGTCCCTCGACGACGCTATTCAAAGTTGCCTTACAAAAATGATCTTAATCCCTCATAAATGCTAAGATACCTTGCAATATTGCTAATCATGGCTATACGGTGACCCACGTCCGTCCCGTTAAACATCCAAAGATAGGGTTGCTTGCCAAATCAATGGTAAGACAACAATATCAAAGGAAAATAAAATGAACAAGAAAGACATTTGAGTAGGTAGACTACTTTTAGTTACTTGCTCCATTTCAAAACAAATATCCTTGCAATTTTCAAAACAAACATACACATTTCCAAACATCTTACAAAATTTAAAACATTTTCAAAAAAGACAAATATCTTTATATACATTCTTACGAACGCGAATCATTACAAAGATTGCCTAAACAATGTCCTCTTTTACAAAATACTTTCAAAACCACACAAAGCACAATTTCAAACAAAAGCAAGTGATCTAGCAAGTAACTAAGAGCCCATGGAAAACCATGGATGAAAAGGGTGCTAATACCTTCCATTTTCATAATCTACTCCCCGAACTCAAAATCTTAAAGGTCTTTCCTGTGCTTTTTCACCTTTCCTTTTGGATAAAAGAAAAGTCAGTGGCGACTCTTGCTAACCGCAACATTTACGATAAAACGCAAAACAATCAAGTCAGTTCTCCCACTGCATCACACCATCCAACCCAATACAGAAGACTTATTGGGTCATTAAGATACCTTTGTTGTACGAGGCCTGACTTAGCATATAGCGTAGGTATGGTAAGTAGATTCATGCAGAAGCCAAAGGTATCACATATAGCAGCAATGAAGAGGATACTAAGGCATCTCAAAGGAACTCTCAACCATGATATTTTGTTTCATGTTGTTAATAAAGGAAAATAATGCAAGTTATGTTGAGGATCGAAAATCCACAGCAGGGTATGTGTTTAGTTAGGTGGTGCACCAGTTGCTTGGAGTTCGAGAAAGGAACTAGTAATGGAATTATCATCATGCAAAGCAGAACACATAGTTGCTTCTCTTTGTGCATGTCAAGCAACTTGGATGGTGAACTTGGTCGAAGAGATAACAAGGAAATATCATGGAGCAATTACCACGAGGATCGACATCATGTCAGCTATCAATCTGGCAAAGAACCTGATATCTCACGGTCGAAGCAAGCACATCGAAATGAGGTTCCACTATCTTTGAGAGCATGTAGTAGATGAGAAGATGAACTTGAAACACTGCAAAACTGAGAATCAAATTGCAGACATCATGACAAAGGGTGTGTAGGTCAAAGTATTTCGAACACTAAGAGCTATGATGAATGTAGATAGCTTAGACACAATGAATTAGGTGGTATGTTGAAAGTAATTCCTTGTGTCAAAGCATATTTCTCAACAGAGACAATGGAGTGTCGAAGCAGATTGCTAACCTAAATCTATAAATAGGGAGAAACCCCTATTTTTTGAAATCAACTCATTGTATTCACAGAATTTCCAGTTGCAAGTGAATAATAAAGTTTCTACAGTTTATGGGCAGAGAGAAACTCTGCAGAAAAATACTTTCTTTTTTTCTTCATCTTTTATTTTTCATTGTCATTGTGTGGTGGTATCAATCTTGTTCATCAAGATTGATAGAAATTCATCATGAGTTTTGGTGGATTTGTAACACATGTATCAACTTGAAGATAATCATTCCCCACCCCTGAATAAAAAACAGGTAATACGATAATGGAGTTGTCGTCGTTGACAACCTCATCAACGACAAGTCGTTAGGAGATTTCTTGCATTCCAAAATCAAGTCGTTAGGAGATTTCTTACATTCCAAAATCACGGTGGACTAGTCCTTTTTCACCAATTTCCTACAATTTAAAGCAATTATTATTATAAAAAAATCCCACTGACAAAGAAATGATCATCACTATAGTGATGAAAAGAAAAAAAATGAAATTTGTGAAAGGAAAATCAGAAACAATTAAACTCACGAGAATGTTCCTGAAAATCTTGAAGAGAGATTCACCATCAAATTTGGTGTCACTATACACATGGGTTGAGTTCATTAATGGCAGAATCAAGAGAAAATTGATCTTCCTTCTTAGCCAACAACTTCTCCTCCTAACAACATGAATACTCCAACCAATTCTCAGATTCAGAGAAATAAATAAAATGGTTTTCGAACAACAATGGAGATGATTTTAAAGACTGAAATGGAGATGTCAACATACTCATGAACATTGAACAAACAATTCATAAGACAACTCTCTAAACAACCATGGTTTCCAAAAAAAAAAATCAAAACTTGATGTTCATAAAAATGAAAACTTTATCTCATATAAACGAAACCAGATTTAGTCATAGGAAAAAATGTAAACGCATTGAAAAGAAACCATAAAAAGACAAACTTTTTCTTATTAAACGCTGGAACAAACACAACCACCATAACTGAGACACATTCACAACATCGGCTAAACAGTAAAACTGGAAAATGGAGCGAAAGATATGGTGTTCACCTGGATGCAGCAGAGGAAGAAGTATGAGACGATAGGGAAGTTGATATGGTATACAAAAAAAAAAGAAATGAGAAAGATGAGTTTGAGCCTAAAGTTTTGAAATGGTAGAGAGAATTTCCACCCAGGTAAAAGCATTGACCACTATGTTTTCTTGTGTTTTGAATAAGAATGAGAAAAGCATAGTCAATTATAAGTTTCATTACTTTTCGGATTTGAAAGGGTGGAGGAAAATATCCACGGTTTAATGCATGTATTAACAAACATCCAATAGAGAAAATGTAAAATGGGTGTCACTTGGAATGGTAAAAGATGATCGGTGGAAATTAAATTTGAATTAGCAAATTACTATTAAGCGTATTTATTAGTGCAAATAATTTATGAGAGATGGGTAATTTAAGCTGTTTAATGATATGTTATATTCTTAGTTATGTAGTTGACTTTTTCATTATTAATGTGTGTCTGCCCATAAATCATTCAGAATCTTGAGAGTAATGAGAGGACAATCTTTAATTAATTAGTTTAATTAGTTGGACAAAAAAAGTTTGATTTTGATTTATGTTTATGTACTTTTATTATTTGTTAATTAGTTACTCTCTTGTAACGAATTATTCACAAAATTGAGTTTTTAGTACATTTGACAATTAGTGTATGCAATTTATATATAGATTATATATATTAATTATCAAATATATATAAAAAAATCAATTTTACTTATAATTCTTTACGGAGACAATATATTATATTATATGTAACAACTACCACACTTTTAAATACATTTTTTTATTTATTTATAACACTTTTAGATACATCTTTGTGTAAAGAGAATTATTACATTTATCGTAGTTTATTCTTTACTTTTTGACAACATGTATGCTCTTTTATAAACAACACTAACTCATAAGTAATAAAATAAAAATGATGATAATTCAATAACTAAAAAACTAAAAAATAAAGAGAAAGAAAAAATAATGGGTCATATGAAAATCCAATGATTCAGGTATTATAATTGGTTATTATAAGGACGTAATTGATTATAGAATGTAGTATTTTTTTTATTATTATGATTGGTGTAATCGGTTACATATTCGTAATAACCGGTTATCATTGTTATGTATTTTAAATTTGCAAACAGTCGGTTACAGATTTGGCTTAATCGGTTACAGGTTGTTAATTTTAGTTTTTAGGCTTTATTAGTTCTATCACAATCCATTGTGTTTTGTATAAATATCCAAAGGGTATCACAATCAATTTTCATGAAAATTTTCACTCTCAATTAAACTCTCTAATTCTCCCTCTCCCTCTCAGCACTCAATTACTCTATTTTTACCAACCTAGGGATTTCCAATTCTAACATTTGACATCAAGAACCTGGTTTGATCCCCTAAATATTTAGTGTGCAACATGTATTCAGTCTCCAATGAAAGAATCACTGCAACCCTACTCATCCTTGATGCAAAGAATTACGACAAATGATACAAGCAAATAAAGGTGTTGTTTGGCTATCAAGATATTTTTAAAGTGATCAAGAACAGTGTGAATCCTCTTGTAGAAGGTACAGCAGATGCACAACGAGCTACACATATGGAAGAAAACAAGAAAGATTTCAAGGCGTTGTTTTAGCCCATCAATGTGTTGATACAGATAATTTCGAGAAAGTTTGTGATTGTGAATCATCAAACAAGCGTGCTAAATCTTAGAGAAGGCATACGTAGGGGAGGACAGGGTGAATGTTGTGAGGTTATAAACTCACAAATGTCAACTTGAGTTGATTTAAATTGAGGAGAATGAGGCAATCAACAATTTCACGAAGATAATTACTTGGTTGGTAAACCAAGTAAAAGCATGTGTAGAAATGATCACATAGTAGTATGTTGTCCCAAAAATATTGGGTTCCTTGACAGTTAGATTCGATAACATAGTCGTAGGGATTGAGGAATCGAAGGATCTTACGACGATGAGGCAAGAGGAGCTACAAATCTCTCTTGAGACTAATAAGAAAAGGATGGAGGAGAGAAATAGTGATAAGGAAAAGGCGGAGATCTCTTTGTAAGTTCTTTTCATTGAGAAAGATAAGAAGTCGAATGGAAAATGGCCCATGTATAGTAAAAGGAATTTTCAGAGTTTTGATGGAAGAGAATCCCAAAATTCGAAAAATTTGGCTTGTCAAGGTGAGAGCAGCTGCTACAAAAATGGTGGTAAAGAAAACTTTAGAGATGAAAGGAGAAGGATTAAAAAGAGAAAATATAATGCTTTATTTGTCAAATGTTCGATCGTTTTTCAAGAGAGTGCAATACAAACAAGAAGGAACCTCAAGTGGATGAAGCTAATGTTACAAGACAAGAGTTTGATGAGGAATACACACTCTTAGTCATGATCATAGATGGGAAATGCATCAACAACATGTTTCATGACAGTAACAACAATAGTTTTGGAAACACTCTAGAATCATGTTGTAACCAGTTACGTATACACTGTAACCAATTATAGGAAGAGGAATCTACCATGGTGACTACGAAAGAGGAAATTCAGTGCATTGAGGAATGATATTTGGACTCCAGATGTTCTAGTCATATGATGGGGGAGGAAGGATTGGTTTGTTATAAGCAATCGTTCCATGAAGAACAAAGTGAAATTCATGGATAACACCACTCTAGCGGCGGAAGAGTTCAATGATGTATCAATAGGGAGAAGGGATGATATACATTATTTGATAAATAATATGTTGTATATTCTCAAAATCAAGTGTAACCTTCTAAGTATTGGCCAATTACTTGAGAAGAGTTAAAAGATTCGTATGGAGAACAAGGCGGTACACGTCATGGATGTAAACAGGGTTTTGATCCTAAAAGCTCCTATGGATGCCAATAGAACTTTAAAGGTTGAGTTGAAGGTTATGGAGCATAAGTGCCTTGCTATATCGGTTATTCGAGAAGTGTGTATATGGAACTATAGTTTTGGGCATCTCAATTTCTGAGATCTCAATGCTTTGCAAAAGAACAAAATGGTAACGGGGCTATCATTGATCAACATACCGATTGAAATTTGGGAAGAATGTGTGCAAGTGAAGCAACATAAAGTTAAATTCAAAAAGGATGCAGGTTGTAGAACCAAGCATCACCTCGAGGTGGTATATTCTGATGTGTGTGGACCAATGCAATTTGATTTGATTGGTGGCAATAAATACTTTGTCACATTCATCCATGATCATAGTAGAAATCTATGGCCATATCTAATAAAGAGAAAGGATGAGGTATTCAAACTGATTAAGAAGTTCAAGTCCATGGTTGAGAGGCAAAGAGATAACAAGTTCAAAGTTCTCAAAACAGATGGTAGAGGTGAATACGTCTCAAATGACTCTGGGAGGTTTAATGATCAAAAAGAGATAGTACATGAGGTAGTACCATCATATACACTGCAAAAAAATATAGTGTTTCCTAAAAGAAGAATCAATCGATTATGAACATGGAGAGAAGCATGTTAAAAGGGAAGAACTTGTCAAAAGATTTATGGAAAGAAGAGGTGTCCACGACTGCATATTTGTTGAATATGTGTCCAACAAAGAAACTTGCATAGATAACACTAGAGGAAGCATGGTCCATATTCAAACCGAATATGAATCACTTGATATTTTTCGGTTCCATAGCATATCTACATGTGTCGCGTAGCTTAGAAAGAAGCTTGATGACAAAAGAGTATTGATGATACTTGTATGGTATCACTCCACTGGAGGTTACAAGTTGTATGATGTAGCAAACAGAAGGATTGTGATCAGCTGAGACATCATTTTTCGACGAAATCAAGGAGATGTAACAACATGTAACCGATTACTAGAAAGTTATAACTGGTTACAACAATGTAAAAACAGTTTTTGTAGAGTTGGAAGTTGCAGAATCAGCCCTCGTCAAAGCCCGAATTGAAAGAATGTAAGAAGATCAACAAGGAAAAGAGATTTTCCTCCATGACTCTAAGAGTGTGAGTTGTTCTGAGACAAAAAAGTCAATGATGATGGTGATTTCATCCATTTTATACTTATGGTCGAATCTGAATCCGTTAAAACAGAAGAGGCCTTGGTGATCTGAAATGGATTTGTGCTATGAAGGTGAAGCTAGAATCCATTGAGAAGAACAAGACTTAGGAGTTAGCTGATCTACCAGAAGGAAATAAGCCAATTGGTGTAAGATATGTGTTCAAAGTGAAGGAAAATCCCAAGGGTGAAATAATCAAGCACAATGCTCGATTAATTGCAAAGGGATTTTTATAAAGAGATGGCATTGACTTTAAAGTGGTATTTTCACCGATGGATAGAATTGAAATCATCATACTAGTTATGTGTTTTGCAAATAACAAAAATTGGTCCATCTACCAAATGGATGTGAAATCTTTGTATTTGAACGATCCACTTGAAAAGGAAGTTTATGTAGAACAACCCTCTTGTTTTGTGCGAAAAACCAAAAGTCAAAGTTCTACAAGTTGAGAAAAGCATTGTAAGATTTGAAACAAGCTCGAAGAGCTTAGAACAAGATAATAAATGGTTTCTTAAAGGAGATTGGATTCAAGAAGTGTGTATTTGGACATGGTGTGTATGTGAAGAAGGATACAAGTGAAAGGGTGATAATCCTTTGTCTATATGATTTGTTGATTATGGGCAGTGACAAAAAGTACATTTCTAAGTTAAGGGTGAGATTATGAAGAAGTTTGAGATGAACGACCTTGGCCTCATTACATAATTTCTTGGTATTGAGTTTCACAATTCCAAGAAGGGACTGCTCATGCACCAAAGAAGGGATGTGCTTGAGATTTTAAAGAAGTTTGAAATGGAGTATTATAATACTGCCATTACTTTGTATGAACCGAGGCTATATGAAATTGTCGAAGAATGAGGATGAGAAAGATGTTAATCCAACTAGTATAGGAGATTGATTGGATCATTGTGTTACTTGTACAATATGCAGCCAATTTTAGCGTTTAGTGATGATATTTTATTGCTCAAATGTATATTACACAAGTTTAGTATACTATGAATGGCTCTAGGATTTGTAATACCTAACCCAGAGTTCCAAATGGAAACATTATTGGTAAATGAACTTGCATTATGCGACCAAAGAATAAAAGTAGGGGTATATACAACATGACACAAGTTTTGAGACTGATTACTTATGAGATTGCTTTAGGGATCTAAAGATAAATTATTGAAGCATTACAATCCACTACCATCAATAAATCCTTCAAGAGACACTAAGAAAGATGCATGTGATTTGACATAGCACTTGTTAGAATGAAACTCAATGTAAAAATTGCTATATTGAAAAATTTAGACACCCAAAGTAGATTTCTTGTGAGACTAGGAACATGAAGCAAGCTATTTAACTTCAACATAGAATTTGACTCAAGTTTGGATCTGAGTTTTGAGGAACCAACTGACTTGACTGCCAAGTTATGATCATTACTAACTAGAATTTTATTTAGACCTGCACAAAATTGTTTGTTTTATAAATTTGAAGTGTTATAAGTAATATGATGAGAAGCATTTGAGTCTACAATAAGCTTGAGACCCCAGACTTAGAGGAACTTTAAGATTGTCGCGATAAGTTAAAAGAGAAGTTTCTTGTGCAAAAGTGGAGGCTTAATTCTTCTGAATTTCATGAGCATTAATGGAACTGTTTGGAGAAGAGAAATGTGATTGACACTTCAGTGGTGGAGGATCAAAGTGCTCATCATATTTATACCATCAATTAACTAATGAGGGACTATATTTGTTGTAGAGTTGGAAAGCTGGTTAACTATATGTGCTATAAACATGTCTACCATGTTTTCTTCCTCAAATTGAGCATGCTTTATCACAATAGTATTGATAAGATTCTGATGTACCACCAATCATCCTAGAGAAAGTACTTGTTATTGCTTGAGCAACAATAATAGTTGCACTAGAAGTTAAAAGTTTTTGGCGAAAATTTCATATTGTACTTCTTGTACATATAAAAGATTATCATGATGAAAAGGTTATATATTCTTCAGAAAAACCTTGAAGAATTGCATCTATTTGATCCATTTTAGATAATCAGTTACCAACAACCAATAGAGACTTTGTTATTGTTCGAATTCGAAGGTCATACTCAGAGATTGAACGATTATATTTCTTGTTAGTTTTTAATTTCGACCTTAATTGGTGAACTCAAGCTTTCATTTGTGAACGAAAATGTTCACCTTGTCCTAAACTCCATAAGCATGTTTACATGAGAGAACATGAGATAGAACAACTTCAAAGATTGGAGACAAAATCCAAGTTAACAATGTTTGATCTTGAATTATTTAAGATTCATAATTTTCATATACAATACTAGTCATCCTATCATTGTTAGTTTTGAATGTAGGAGGGATATGAGGATTTACCGCACTCTGTGGAGTTTGTGATATAAGAATAAAACATTCTACTTGCTAATTCCACATTAGAAATTTGTTTTCTTGAAGTTTGTCTGATATCTTCGGTTTAAACTTGTTTGTTGAGCTTGAAATTTGCAAATTGTGACGAGGTAGCTTGTGAAGAACAAACCACATGTTGTAAGTTCTGAGGATAGTTTTCTTGATCTGCCATTGGAGCTCCTATAAAGCTTTAATGCAAAGCTCAATTTGTAGATACCATGAACAGAATAATGAAACTTCTATGAAGCCATGATCTTTAGTCAAAAACTAAGATGCTGAAGATGAAGAAGAAGCTGAAGAAAACCCTTATAAACATGTGATTTCATATTGAGTGAACCTAGTTGCATTGGAAAGAAAGCTAGTGCGAGATTTTCTTGTATTGGTTGAATTAATTCATTACAAAATATGAGAATGGTTAAAGTCTATAATAGAATACAAAGTTAATTACTCTAACTAACTTTTTTAACTACTTTTCAACAACTCTAACTAACTTTTCTAACTACTTTTCAACAACTCTAACTAACTTTTCAAAAATAGTTACATTTCTTTTAGTTATCTCTAATATCTACCAATTCAAATTATCTAACACAAAACTCAATTGATAAGTTATTCAATGATTACGAGAATTAATCATAGAATCTATAAATTGAGAATAAAAAATCAAACAAAGGTGAAGAGACTAAAAACTTTTATAACTATTTAATTTTGCATATCTATTAAAATTACAATAAACAACAAAGTTCTAAAACACATATACAAGTAATCTTCCCTTCCTTTTTCAAAAATCAAATTTTCAAACAGAAATATCATAAATAAAACGTGTGAGAGGAAGAGCAAAAAGAAATCACAGAACTAATTTTCTCATTTCATCAAAGAAACCATTTATAACAACAAGAACCAATCTCCATCATTTTCACACAAACCTATTTCATCCAAATACACAAACCATAACAACATATGCTATATTACAATCTTGTAACATTGACTGATTATTATTTTCTAACGCTAATTCAAACTCTCCAAGAGATCCCATAACTCCTCTATTTGTCATTTGTAAAAGATAAACAGATATATAAACATGTGTCTAAAAATATACACAAGAATTGAACGATTTTAACAAAAGAATTTTATACTAAAGTTAAACTGGAATTTAAACAAAAAAAAAAAGAAGTGAAATCTTACTTAAAACTATAATGCATATGTACGAGTATGATATTCGGTGCATATATATGTATAATATCAACATGTCATATGTATTTTTTTAAACATTAACCATTAAGGTGCGTTAACAAATTTTTTATTTTTTTTATAAAATATATGAGTAAAGTAAGTTCACTAACAAAACATCACTATAAAAAAAAAAATTAAGATAAAATATTGAAAGAAATTAAAATATATAAATATATTATATTAATATAAGATAACGAGAGATATTAAAATCAATCGTGTGAGATAACACTACATACACTTATATATATATATATATATATATATATATATATATATATATATATATATATATATATATATATATATATATATATATATATATATATATATTTCATTATATGTTATAATCGATGTGAGATTTATATACAAATATAAATATATATTCTATTACACTCCGCAGTTGAAACAATAGGTTTAAGGACGCTTAGACTTATCCGAAAGTCATGAAGGAGAACTGTAAGAAGGTCTTTGGTGAATATATCAACAATCTGATACCGAGAAAGAACATGAAGAACGCGAAAAAGAAATATATGGTGATTGATTGAGAGAGTCGCAACGCGATGCTGAACACGCAGGGAGTGGCGCGGCGGAAGCAGAAGGGGCTGCGGCGGCAGTGCTGGAAAATGTGATACGGCGACGACGGTGGTGCCGGAGGAGGAGCTACAGTGACAGTGACAATGCTGGAGGAAGAGCTACGACGACGACGATGCTGTTGGAAGAGCTATGATAACGGCGACAGTGTTGTTGGAGGAGCTACGACAATGGCGGCGATGCTGGATGAGAAGCTACGACGACGATTGCGGCGCGAGAGGAAGAACTACGGCGACAGAGACGGTGCTGGAGGAAGAGCTATTGTGGTGGCAATAGTGCTGGAGGAAGAGCTATTGTGGCGGTGGCGTATTACATCAGATTTAAATCTTTACCTCAACTCATATCATGTAAGTTATTTAGAACAACCGTGTGAGAATAACACTATTTACGGTTCATTATATGTTATAGTCGATGTGATACTTTTACACATATATAAATATATATTCTATTAAATAATATTTAAGAAAAACCCAAATTTCATTCAAAATTACATAGTAAAAAAAATGAAGTACCACAAGTCCGGAGCCACATGGGGACTGAGGGCGGCCATGGCCACCCCAAAAGTTTTTTATTTTTGTAAAATAATTGGTATTTTATGCAATTTTAACTATTTAGTGATAGTTATATAGAACTATTGTGCATTATTTTATAAATAAATGAACTTGGCCGAGCGAAAAAGTCTGTTTTTGGCATTCTCGAGCAAGAATCGAACCATGTAAGACTATATAGATTGAGAGTGTTGAAAAAATTATTCAATAGTTGAACATGGAGTATTGAATGAATGAGGCAAGAATGGAGGCCACATATAATATTTTACAAAATCTTATTGGTTGTTGTGATTATTTAGATTTTATTTCACCTTAACTATTTGAAATTAATTATTTTATAGTAAATCAATTTTTTACTTATTTTTATTTTTCCTAAAATTCATTTTTTTCTTCCTATAAATAGAAGTTTGATTCATTAAATTTAGACACATAAAAAAATCTATTTTTTTCTCTTTAATTTATCTATTTAGCCTCCCATAAATTCATCTTTATTACTTGCAAGAAAAAATTAATTAAAAATATAAAATTATAAAAAAATTTAAATAAATTATTAAATTAAAAAAATTAAAAAAATAATTTAACTCTTAATTATTTTAATTTAATTTCAATTGATAATTAATATTAATATATAATCATAAAAATAAAAATATAAAAAAAATAAGAATATGAAATAAAAATGATAGAGTAAAGTGTTGAATTTTATTAAACAAAATTATTATAATGAATAAAAGTTAAATAAATATTAAATTATTATGTGAAAGAAAGAAAAGATAATATGAAATATAAAAAAGAAGAAAAAAAAAAGGTATTAAATATATAAACGATTATACATAATATAAATAAAAAGCTTAAAATCAAAATCTTTGTCACTACAGCAAACTATATGTTATAATAAAATTGACAATAAATTATATATAGATATCATTCTTTTTCATATCGAAACAATTAGCATTATTCAGTGAACGGACGGTGGTGTTTAGGAAAGTTAATAACCGCCGTGATTTGTTGCCAAAAAACATGTCTGAAAAGGAAGAAGGAACATAGAATGTGCAATGGTCAATATCATACTCCACACCATTCGTGTTTTGCATGCATTGTTTTTTTTGTCTAAATAAATACAGTACTAATGAATAATGTCTCCTTTTTTTCTCTTTTCTTTGCCTATAAATAATATTTCTAATCTTCCATGATCCAACACACAAAAACAGAAACATATATGGGTACTTGTGCATCAAGTATTAAGGCAACCAAAAGTGGAAACAAATCCACTATTGTTGTTAACATAGTTCACTCAAATGGAAAGCTACGACAATTGAAATATCCAATAAAAGCATGGCATGTTCTGTCTCGGAATCCAAACCACTTTCTTTGTTCCTCAGAAACCATGTATGTTGGATCATATTTACCTTCTGTGCCTCCAAATCAAGAGCTTCAATTGGAGCATATTTACTTCCTTCTTCCACTCTCCAAATCCAACGTTCCACTATCTCTGCAAGATCTTTGTTCTCTAGCTATCAAAGCTAACACAGCTCTTGGAAAAAATATGAACTTAATGCTAAAATCATATTCTGTTTTACAAACTACAAATTTCACATCACATCCTACTCTTTCAAATGTGTCTCTTGCATATTCCCATTAGACTAGTTTTACTGTGCCTACATTCCATGTTGCACAAGTATATGAGCAAACTCAAACACGTAGACTAAGCTTAATAAACAATTATTCCAAATAGTTTCAAACCATTTGGTTTTATAGTTTTGATTTTCTAGTATATTAAAAGTCGTTGATCTTTTAAAGAGAATCTAAATATTTATAAATAGAAATGTTGTATCTTTTAAATTTATAGATATAATTTTTAAGAGAATTAAATTTAGTAGTGCTGCGGGTTTGTCTTCTATATCTGTACAAACTTTATTATATTGCTCAAACCAAATTAGAAATTAAAAAGTTAAATGACCTTTTGTTTATAGTCAACCAAATTAGAAATTAAAAAGTTAAATGACCTTTTGTTTATAGTCTGCTTTGATTGGGTTGTATAGGAACTTCTATGCATGTATGAATGTTGAGTTGTGTGTACACTTCTAGTTGTGTTACTCTTTTTGTCATGTTTGGATCAAGGTTTTAAATCAGATTTGCGGTCGCAATTTCAATCCATATAACTGTTGTGATATTAATTGCAGTCGTTACTGTTGTAAATCCACTAAATATCTATGATGAATTTCTCCTCAATGACAATGAATTATGAGAACGAAAAGAAAAGAAAGAAGACAAGACAAATAATTTATGCAGAGTTTCTCTCTGCTCACAAACTGTGAAAAAACTTCTTATTCACTTTGCAACTACAAAATACCGTGAATGACTTGCTTGACTTGCTTACAAAAAATAAAGGTTACTCCCTCTATTTATAACCGAGCTTGCACCCTAACCCCAAAGCCCAAAATATCTATTTTGTTACTAAATCAAATCTAATTTATTTTAGACTTAAATCAAATCTATTTAAATTTAAACAAATCCAATTTTTCGACACTATGAATTACAATTTAACACACCATCTAATTCATTGTGTCTAAATTATCTATATTCACATGACTCTTAGCCTTCTGAATACTCTGACTTGCACTCCCTTCGCCATAATGTCTGCAATCTGATTCTCAGTTCTACAGTGTTCCAAATTCATCTTCTCATCTGCTACCTGCTCTCGAAGATAATGGAACCTCATTTCGATGTGCTTACTTCGACCATGTGCTATTGGGTTCTTCGCCAGATTGATAGCTGACATGTTGTCGATCTTCATGGTAATTACTCCATGATCTTTCCCTGTTATCTCTTCGACCAAGTTCACCATCCAAATTGCTTGACATGCACAAAGAGAAGCAGCTATGTATTCTGCTTCGCATGATGATAATGCCGCTACTGGTTCCTTTCTTGAATTCCAAGCAACTGGTGCACCACCTAGCATAAACACATATCCTGTTGTTGACTTTCGATCTTCAGCATCACTACACCAACTCGAATCAGTATATCCTACTAACTTGCATTCTTTTCTTTTATCAGCTGCAGGAAACAAAATGCCATAATCGAAAGTTCCTTTGAGATGCCTTAGTATCCTCTTTACTGCTGCTAAATGTTATACCTTTGGCTTCTTCATGAATCTACTTACCATACCTACACTATATGCTAAGTCAGACCTTGTATGATAAAGGTATCTCAATGATTCAATAAGTCTTATGTATTGGGTTGGATCAATATCATCTTCCTCTGCATCTTTCGACAGTTGCAGTCTTGGTTCTGCAGGTGTCGAAGTTGAGTTGCATTCTTCCATCTCAAACCTCTTGAGAATTTCTCTTGCATATCTTCTTTGATGCATCATCAAACCTCTACCGCTCTTATAGAATTCGATACCAAGGAAATATGAAATCTCACCCAAATCAGACATTTCGAATTCCTTGTTGAGATCACCTTTGAAGTATTCAATCTCACTTTTACAGCTACCTGTTATCAACAAATCGTCTACATAGAGACATAGTATAAGCAATTTACTCTTGCTTCTTCTTACATATACTCCATGTTCAGTTGTGCACTTCACAAATTCCTTCTCCCTTAGGAAACTATCAATTTTCTTATTCCAAGCCCTTGGAGCTTGTTTCAATCCATACAGGGATTTATGCATCCTGACACCTTTCTTTCTTCGTCATGTTTCACAAACCCAACTGGTTGTTTAACATAGACTTCTTCGTCTAAGGGTCCATTTAGGAATGCACACTTCACGTCCATCTGACATATGTGCCAACTGTTTATTTCTGCTAGACCAACAACCAACCTGATTGTTTCGATCCTAGCAACAGGTGCAAAAACTTCATCGAAGTCTATTCCTTCTTTCTGTAGAAATCCTTTCGCCATAAGCCTTGCTTTATGTCGAGTTACTTCCCCTTTCGAATTCGTTTTCACTTTGTATAACCACTTGACATCAATTTCCTTCTTGTCTTGAGGCAATTCGACAAGTGACCAAGTATTGTTGTCTTCGATATACTTCACTTCTTCGTTCATTGCTTTCACCCACTTTGAATCCTTCAATGCTTTAGCTATATTAACAGGTTCGACATCTGCATAGAAAGCATAATGTACCAGCTCACCTTCATCATCTATCACATCATCTGATGTAATCACACAATCTTGCAATCTTGCAGGCATGCGTCTTGTTCTTTGAGGTCTGCTTATACTTGGTATATTTGTTGGTTCCTCTTGTCGAACTTCTCTTTCGACTTGAGTTTCTGGTTCTTCGAATAGGATTCCCAATGAATCTTTCTTGACATTTTCAGTCCAATCCCATTCTTTAAACTCATCTATGATCACGTCCCTACTGATTACAATCTGCTTTTTCACTGGATCGAACAACTTGTAGTCTCCTATCGAATGATATCCAACCAAAATCATTTGACTTGACTTGTCATCAAGTTTTCTTCTCAACTGATCTGGCACATGTCTATGTGCAATAGATCCAAATACCTTCAGATGACTCAATCTAGGCTTCACAGCAGACTAACATTCTTCTGGAGTAATTCCTTCTAGCTTCTTTGTAGGACATATGTTCAAAATGTATGTTGTAGTCGAAACAACTTCACCCAAAAACTCCTTAGGTAAATTCTTGCCTTTCAGCATACTTCTCACCATATTCATGATAGTTCGATTTTTCCTTTCTGCAATTCCATTTTGTTGTGGAGTATAGGGTGGCACTACCTCATGCATAATCCCTTTCTTTTCACATAGCATGTCGAAGTCTTTCGACACATATTCTCCACCACCATCAGTTCTCAAAACTTTGAGCTTTCGACCACTTTGTCTTTCGACCGTAGACTTAAACTTGATAAATACTTCGATCGCTTCACTTTTCTTCTTAATCAGGTAAGTCCACAGCTTTCCACTGAAGTCATCTATGAATGTAACAAAGTATTTGTTACATCCCATCGAATCCACCTGGATTGGTCCACATACATCAGAGTATATGACTTGAAGACTAGCCTTCGACCTGCTTCCTGCATCCTTGTTGAAGCTATTCTTGTGTTGCCTCTCCTGCACACATTCCTCACATACCTCGTTTGGAATGTCGATTTCTGGAAATCCAAAACCATATTTCTTCTCTTCAAATCTCTGATGTCTCTGAAGTTGAGATGACCTAGTCTATAATGTCATATTCATTCATCTCTGCTAGCTGCAGTCGAAAGACACTTGCACTCCATCACATTTAGTTCAATCTTGAAAGTTCGATTATGAGACATAGGAACCTTCAAGATTAATCTCCCATTTGCATCAACGACTCTCATTATCTATCTTCGATTAACACTTTATAATTCTTTTCGACCAACTGCCCTATACTGAGCAAATTGCTCTTCATGCCTGGTATGTACAATACATTGGAAATTACTGACCTATTGCCATCTTTCCTCATAATCATAACATCACCAATACCTTCAGCTGCTAGGGTATTGTCATTTGCAAATTTTACCATATTTTTCGTTAAGGGCTTTATGTTGACAAACCAGTCTTTCCTTCCAGACATATATGATGAACATCCCGAATTCAAGTATCATTGGTCCTTGAATCTATCTTCATCTTTTGTTGTGACCATCATCATCATCATCTCTTCTTCTTCATGTTTTGCAAGCTTTGCATCACTTTCTTGATTCTTTCGTTTTTCTGGACAATCACTCGAATAGTGACCATACTTATGACGATTGTAACATTGAATGTGACCCTTATCAGGTTTTCGACCACCACCTCTTCCTCTATTTGCAACACCACTTGTTTGGTTGCCTTGGTATGGTCTTCTTTGATTCGAAAAGTTTTCTTCGTTCTGGTTTCCTCTACCATTCGATTTATTGTATCTGTCTCTACCTCTATCGAAACATTTTCCTTTGCCTTTGGTTTCTTTTGCTGAATGTGCCTGCAAAGCCACACCACTCTTCGATTTGTCTGTAGCTATTTCGTTCATTCTTTGTTCATGAGATTCAAGCGTCCCTTGAAGCTCTTTCTTTGTCAATTTCGACAAGTTTTCCCCTCTTCTATCGCCACCATTATGTGGTCAAACTTAGGAGCTAAAGATCTCAAAATCTTCGAAACAACAGCTCTTGTTATTAATGTTTCTCCACATGCCATGATTTGATTCACTAGTTTTGTAACTCTAGTGAAGAAATCAGATATGCTCTCACTATCTTCCATCTGAAGCAATTTATAGGTTCTCTTGTGAGTTTGTAACCTCACTTCTTTTACCTTTTCTGCACCACCAAAATACTTCTCAAGAATATCTCAAACTTCTTTTGCAGATTCTGAATCACTTACTTTTTCAAAGTTTTCTGGACTCACACATTGATGAATTATAAATTGTGCTTTATAACTCAACTTCTTAATTTCTGTGTGTTTCTTCTTTTCTTCTTCTGAAGCGTTTTCTCCAAACGCTTTGACTCCATATTTTACAAGGTCCCAAAGCCCTTGACACCTGAACAACACTTTCATCTGTTTGCACCAATTCTCATAGTTGTCTATTTTTAGAATTGGTAGAGTTGTTGGATAATTTGCATTCCCATAATTCGCCATCGTGAATACTTCAATCGTTCTTGATTGATACTTCCCTTGAATCGAAAC